ATGGTTTATCCAACCCAGTTATGCACCCACCTTATAACAGCTCCTTCTAGGTTGTATTTCCTCACATCTACCACTTCTCTCATCCGTTAGGCTTGTTAGTCTTTCAAAAAATTATTAGGCTGATTTGACACAGTTCTTGACAATCCATGCTGACTGTTACTTATCACCTTTGTATCATCTAGATCAGTGTTTCTTAAACTTTTTAAGACTGAGTAACACCACACAATTTTTTTTTTATGAGGAACACCAAGGATTTTTTGTTGGGGGGAGGGGGAAGAAAGGTTGGGGGGGGGGGAGAAGGTCCTGCCCCGTTAAGGGTGGCCAATTTGAATTCTGTTGTTCTCTGCGGCACACCTCTGACTGCCTCATGGCACACTGGTGTGTCACGGAACACAGTTTAAGAAACACTGCTTTAGGTGTTTGCCAATTGAATACTTGATTATTTGATCCATTATTTTTCTTGGTACTGAAGTTACACTGACTGTCTGGTCTGTAATTCCCTAGGTTGTCCTTATTCCTTTTTTATATGGATTGGCACTAGAAGTGCACTTATTCAGTCCTCTGAAATTTCTCCCATCTCCTATGACTTTTTAAAGATAATAGCTAAAGCTCAGCTATGTCCTCAGTCAGCTTCTTGAGTATTCTAGGATGCATTTTATCAGGCCTTGGTATCTTGAAGACATCTAAGTTATCTATGTAATTTTTAACTTGTTCTTTTCCTATTTTATCCTCTGATCCCATCTAATTTTCACTGGTATTCACTATGTTAATGTCCTATTGCTACTAACTTTTCTGCTAAGAACTGAAACAAAAATGTCATTCAACATTTCCACATTTTCTATTATTTTTCACCTCTAATTGAGTACTTGCCTACCACGTCCTTGGTCTTTCTCATGTATTTGTGGAATAAGAGGAACATTTTCTTGTTACTCTTTGTCTGTAGCCTCTTTAATCTCATTTTTTGCCTTGGCCTTTCTGACTTTGTTCCTACGTACTTGTGTTATTTGTTCATGGTCCTTTTTTGTAGTTTGATTTAGTATCTGATTTCTGTAGGATTTTTTTTTTTGAATTTCAGATCATTGAAGATATACTAGTTAAATCAAGGTGGTTTCTTGACATAACTGCTATCTTTCCTTGCTCCCCCACTCTTTTTGGGAAGAGAACAGAAACAGTTCTCTCTCCGGTGAATGGCAAATTCTGTTAACCTCCTTATTCCCATTCAACGACATTACCCTGTTTCCTTGAACTGATTAATTAGGTGACTCAATATATCCTCCTTAAGCAGCCTTCCTGGTAACTTTTTGAACCATGCGAGCACACTGAGACTATACCAGGCACCCACACTCACTTTATCATGCTATTGTATTTAACTCTGACTTGTTCCACCAGTGGCTCTGATTTTTAATCTTTATATTAATTGTATGACTTTTAATAAAAACAAATATGAAACATTATTTAATATTTCTGTGATGAGACACAGGCTAACCCCAATATAATCAAAGCAGGTTAATATATGCTAGTGATAATAATGTAAAAGAGACTAAGGGGTCACCAAAAATGAGAAGATCATGAATTGATTACATATGATTTTTTTGCTAGTATAAAGCCTGTTGTTGGGAATTTATAAAACTTGTAAATTGAATGTACTCTGTCTGATCAGTTTTTTTCAGACTTTATTCAGTTTTTATTAACGATCATCTATTCTGCCTTTCACAATTACAATTCCATCACTTTATTAGTTCACAGACTGAATCTATATTTCTGCTTTGATTTCAGGAGCCCAGTTCAGATGCATTTAATAAGTTAGATTCAGATTCATTTATTGGTATATGAGGCAGGGTTCCCTCTAAGTTGTGTAGACACACAGCTGGCTAAGCCCCATGTAGGGGCTCAGGGCTGTTGTGCATAGAGCTGCCACAGCTGGAGGAGAGGTGCACTCTTTCAGCCCCACCAGGGAGCTGCCGCAACCAGGGGCAGGCAGCTTCTCAAAGTTCTCCTACCGCCATTCCCAGTAGCACAGACCTGCCGTAGCTGCAAGAGAGACACTCCTCCTCTAGCCTAACCCAGCCTCACTGGAGCTGCTGTGGCCTGCAGAAAGGTGATTCTCACCTGGCTCATAGCTGCTTCAGTGAGAAGAATGAGGGGAGCTCTCTCTCCCTGTGGAGCCTATACCCAAAACCCCTCATGCTCAGCCCCATCCCAGATCTCACACTCTAAGCCATGGCCTTCACCCCTGCACACTACCTTCTACCCCAGCCCTGAGACCCCTCTGCCCAAGATCCACCCCAGAGCCTGTACCCCCAGTGAGAACCCCATCCCACACTCTGAATTCTTTGGCTCTACCCTGATCACAGATTATCCATATCCGGAATGAATTTTGTTATGTGCACCAATATGGGCGTGATGTGTCTTATATAATCTCCATATTGGTGCACATAAGAAACTTCATTCTGTACATAAAAATTAGAGGGAGTACTGGTATGAGAGGGTCAAAGTTAGGTGTAACCACTGTGCCTAGTAGCTAAAAGACTACACGTAAAACAGGCTGAATGGTTTATTTTTAAAGCTGACCTTAGAATTATTTTCCTTTTTTTGCTTCTGGGAAGATCTGAAAAGTTACCGTGTGGCTTTTAACATTTTTTTAATCACCTATTTTTTATCTTAGAAATGTTAGGGTTGTCAAATATGATCTGCTCTTAGGTTTTACGAAGGGCTTTTCTGTAGTATGAAATGTTATTTTTTTTAATACAGTCAATTTAAATGACACAGTGCTGATCTTGAAACAACAAAATTGAAATATCTCTATGCCAGCCCCAGTGCTGGTACAGGGATGAATCTTACCCTGTCACCTTTGATTTTTCCGTCCAAAATTATTTCTGCTCAAAGTGAGATGGGGGCCAATTCAAACATCTATGTACAGAACACAATTTCATTCATTACTCCTATATTGAGTTCAGTATCTTGTGTGACTAAAGCATACCTTCCAGAAAGACGTCCAGTCTTGCTTTTACGTTGCCTCTGAAATAGCTTTGACTCACTGCTTGTCACCTTGAGTTAAGTCTTATTAGTTTATATTTTAATTTTTTCCCAGTTAAACAGTTAATGAGAGAGTGTTAATGGAAGTTGTAATGGATTTTCCTTGGGTGCATCCTGGAACTGGGCTACCACTGAGCCCTATTGCTTGCCAACCTGGGCTCCCTCTCACATTGTGATGTTGCGACAAGCTGCAAACCTCTCTACAGGCAGGCATGCCTGCTGGGTTATTTGAATGCTTCTCCCAGCCATTCATAAACCAGCAACAGAGAAGCTCTCACCAGCCCCAAAGCTGTACTGTCTTGCCCTGGTCAGAAGCTTGACCAATGTAAGTTTATTACCCAGTCTGCCCCTCCCTCCCTCAATGTGGAGAGGACATGCACTAGCTTTGGTACTGAAGTTTCAGAGGGGTAGCCATGTTAGTCTATAACTGAAAAAACTGAAAAAAGAACAAATAGTCTGCAGCACTTCAGAGACTAACAAAAATGTAGGTGCTATCATAAGCTTTTGTGGCCACAACTCACAAAAGCTTATAAGAACATCTACATTTTTTGTTAGTCTCTAAGGTGCTGCAGGACTATTAGCTTTAGTACACTGAGCATAGGTTTCCCCAGCACTTCAAGCAAAATGTATTGCTTTAGTTAAAATGTGAAACAGGTTTATTAACAATAGAAAGGTAGATTTGTAAGTAATTGTAAGTGGTAGTCATAAAGGATAGAAATAAAAATAAGCACACAATCTAAGTTCTGTAAACTAAACAGGATTTGAATTAGACGGTGTCTCACTCTGATAGTATATGCAGGTTCAACAGATCAGGACTTAAAATGATACATCACAAGGTATACTTTGTAGAAAACATATCATAATTATATGACAGCAATGAAGATGTGGGTTCCAGGATGTTGCTTTGAAGCATAGAGTGCCACAAAAGTTACATGTTGAAATATTACTTTTTGTTTCAAATACATGTGAATGTTAAAAAAAAAAAACCTCTTGGGCTATGTCTACACTTCTTGCGCGAGTAATATGCAAATGAGGCTAAGCGTAGAATATCGCTGAGCCTAATTTGCATACATAAGGAGCCACCATTTTTTTCAGAAGAGGCTCTAGTGCAAGAAGGAGCATTTACACTGCCCCTTCTTGCGCAAGAAAAACCCTCTTGCGCAATGCTGTTCTTCCTGAAAAGTAATAGGTGTAAAGGCATTGCGCAAGAGGGTTTTTCTTATGCAAGAAAGGGCAGTGTAGATGCTCCTTCTTGCGCAAGAGCCTCTTCTGAAAAAAATGGTGGCTGATTAGGTATGCAAATGAGGCTCGGCGATATTCCACGCTTAGCCTCATTTGCATATTACTTGCGCAAGAAGCCACGAGTGTAGACATAGCCTTGAAGTATCATATATGATATATTTACTTAATATGCACATTGACCAAAATTAATTGACACCAGGGACAGCTGAATCACCCAAATCTGTAATTGAGTGCATAAAATTGATTTTAAAAAACCCATAACCTACAATACCGTCACAGCTTTGAATAGCATGGCATATGTAATTGCAAATTGTTGAGTTGTGCCTTATTAGAATAGAAGTGTCAGTGAGGTGATTATGGAAATCAGTATGATTTGACAGTGGTTTGGGGTTTTGCTAGTAGAGTTATTGGAATTCTATTAAAATCTGTAACTTGCATTAAGAGATCTAGTTTAGTAGTTAGTCTAGCTTTTTGGCTTTGGAGTACATAACAGAAAAACAGTTTTATTAAAGCCAACTTGCAAAATCTGTTGAACGATGAATAAAGTGCAAGAAACTTGTACCGGTTCTTAATTAAGGAAATCAGATGTTGATGTTGTATTGAGTTAACCTGATTAGATGCCTTCAGAAGACAAATGAGATGCTTTCATCAGTTGAAAGTGCATTTATGAAAACGTGTTTATTTTTCTTCTTGGTCTAACCAGTATTTCATCTTATTTACAGCAACTATAATTCTGAATGGAAGTGGCTTTTAAACAGAGCTAAAATTGGCTACCGTTGGACATGGCTTCAAACCCAGATTTCGGAGCTAGAATACAAAATCCAACGACTAACCGACCTTCATAGGCAGATACGTGCCACCAAGGTATGATCTGTGTGTTAAGAAGTGGGCTTTTCAAATAATCCATTGACAATATTTCCAGTACTATTTTTTTCTTTTTGTAACAGTTTTGGTAGCCAAGCAAAATATTGCAAAGAATTACAAAGGTTAATGAGAAGATATCAGAAATCAGAAGCATGGTTATCTAGAGGGCATACACATGGGATTGGAAATCAGAGTCTCCAGAGTTCTAATCCCGGCTCTGTCATTGATTCACTATGGCTCTGGGGAAGTGACTTGAGTTTCCCTGTGTATTAGGAATGTTCAAATGTGTCATTTGCTAACTATGTAACGGCTGAAAAATTCAGTGGTTACCCATGGGGTGGCAGCCAGCTCCTCAGGCTCCTCAGCTTACAAACAGCTGCTGTCCCATGCTGCTGCCTCTGTTGTTATAAGCAGCAGCACGGGATGGCAGCTGGTTCCCCGGAAGCTGGTGTGTGCTGGGAGCTGGCTTAAAAGCTTAATAGCCAGCTTAAAAGCCAGGTCCCGGTGTACCCTATTCCTAGGGGCTAGGTGCTGCCTCCCACTGCTACCTTTGGGAGCCAAACCATGCATGTAACCGTTTGGTAACTGATAAGCTTATGTTTATTGGTTACCCATTTAAACAGCTGCACTCTTACATCCCTACTATGTATAAAGAAGAAACAGTGATTTTTTTTGTGTGTGTGCCCCTACCATACAGAAATATTTTCAGGACAAATAAATTAATGTTTTTTGAGAGATTTTAATGTGTCAAATGCTCATTATAATTAGAATTACAATATGATATCAACTTTTCTGTTTATACAAGTTTAAAATAAAAATTAAGGAAGTCAAGATTGTTAGGCTGTTTTTTAGGAATGTTATGCTAAATCATACTGTTCTTAGCACTTCATTTCTATAGGCCAGCCAACTCATTCCCTCCCTATGAAGGCAAAAATTCAGCATGTTCCTGCTCATTGATTGTTCCTTTTGTGGTGGTGGAATGTTTCCAGGGCTTGCCTTGCCTCCCTCTGTAGAACTGAAAGGAGGGCAACTCATGAAACTTTAAATCCATGTAGTATCTATGTGGATGATCTCTGCACCTACTCTTAGGGCACCCCTTCACACCCCAAACCCATCAGCATGGCTGTGAGGGTGATGGGAAGAAATCTGCATCATGGCAGTGACTAGGAGATGGTATTCTTACTCATGTATTTCTTTAGTGGTAGGAGGTACGTTCACATGTGGCCAAGCCCCATCCCTTCCCAGGGATGAATGCTACAGAAATGATGCTTTCTGCCTCACATCTGGGCCTCTTACCTCAGATTGGAATCTCTCTCTCTCTCTCTCTCTTTTAAATATGAAACAAATGTCAGTTTACAATATTTTGGGGAGCTGAAAGGTCTGGTTAGAACATTAATGTGGAATGGGGGAGACCCTGCTGTGTGGGCATCGTCACGGGTCCCATACAAGAGGCAGTCCATCTTCGCTACCTCTATAGATTCAAAGGACAGGCAAGGCTATAAGGAGCTGAGAGACTCATCTCATTGGACTTAGAAAAAGTCATCAGAAAACCAAAAGCTATTGTGTGGCCAAAAGTTCTCATTTTTTTCCAAACAGAAAAAAATGTCCTTTTTATTGTAATTTTCTGTGGCAACTCTCACTTCCATTTTCCAACCATTTCTGCTTACAGTCTTCCTGGCTACAAGCTAGCCTCTTCTCCTTACTTTCCAGATATCTCACCATTCCTCTTCCCCTTTCCTTTTTGTTTCTCTCCACCTTCATTCTCCCTGTTTTATTGTGTCTATTCCCTCCCTCCACCCTTTCCTTTTTTAAGAATCTTGTTTCTGTTAACTCCTTTCCTTTCTTTTTTCCTCCCCCCTCCAGTCATGCAATATATTACTCCAGTGAAAGACAGTTTTTAAAAAAATTGACTGTCACCTGCATCATGTGGCTTTTGTGTCCTTTCCCTTTCTTCTACTTTTTGAATTTTGTGTTTGGCTTGTAAATTCTTCATGAAAGTGTCAAAGTCAGACACAAGACTCACAGATTTGTCAGACCGCTCTGTTTATTAGCAAAGCTGCTCTGCTAATTCACCTAGAAAATGTGAGTTCCATACAAGGCTCAAACCCCTTTGATTTATACAGTCAAAAGAAAGACAACTTAACAAGATTAAAAGGATGGCAAAACTTCGCATGATTAGTATGAGGCTAGTCAAGTATCTTCATTTCCATATCAAGCACACAGCAATCTCCTGTCCATATCTCTCTGGCTATCTCAATTACTTTCTGCCTAACACCTAATGTTTCCTTTTCCTGTTACCACAGGTATACTTGACTAGCACTCTGATCTGCATACCTACAAACAACATTAACATAATTTCCTCTTTCCTGTTCAGAGACAAACAGTGTTCCTTCAACTTATTCAATTATTACAGTATAATTCATCTTTCTCTTAAAATATAATTCTTTCTACTTTCACAAAAGGGACACGCTATATATCATCCTTTTGCTTTACAGAGCATCTACTACAACCAAATAATGCTTTGTGCCTTTTTGTGTAACCACACAAAACAATAAATAAATAAGCTACATACTAAAAATCCAGGGGGGAAGTGCAATGGCAAACATAACTACATATTTTTCTCTTGTTCTAAAAGTCTTTTGTTGATGGGAATGGCAACAAAACAGGATTACCTTTTCAAAATGCAATACAAAGGTTTTGAATTTTCTTTTTTATCCATCCCAAACTAAGATCTATGACTCTCAGCTTGCATTAGAGAGATTTTAGGTTGGCAGATCCTCCCTTTCGACCTAAGAGAAGGCTTAGAAAAAACTTGATTTCCCTGGTCACAAGGCCTAGTTTTCAACTTCTCTTGCTTTGTGACCTACAAATATTATAATGGCCAAATATGCTATGTCTGAGACTTGGACCATCTCCTGATAGTTAATACAGGGAAACCCAAACCAATCTGATAGAAGGAGCAGTATGTTTGTAGACATGTTCATTCAGTAAACATGTAGTTTGCCACAGTTTAGATTCACAGAAACAGTTCTTCAGTTATTAACTTTGTTCTTGGACAGTAGTTTGAACAGTGGAAACAATGGAGAGATTCAAGATGAGGGCAACTCCATACTGCTTGTGTGTTTCCCCGTTTTTCTTCTGAAAAAATAATCCAAATTCTGGATGTTAAGGACTAGTCAACTATCCGATAAGCAAAAGCTTATTGCATAGTCAGTCAACTAGCTGATCTCCTCCTCCCCTCCACTGCCTCTATCAGATAGAAGCAGCAAAGTTGGGGGGAACGGGTACTTCAAAGGGGGAGTACTCAGCGGCTCAGCTGTGCGGCGCTGTCCTTTGAACTCCGCCTCTGCGTTTCAAAGGGGTTGCCCTGCACAGCTGAGCTCAGGCTCAGCTGTGGGGCGCTCAGTGTTTCAAAGTGGCGCTGTGGAGCCTGGGGTCAGGTGAGGGCTCCCCAGTTGATCCCAGGCTCCGCGGCATTTCTGTGGAACCTGGGATCAGCTGGGGAGTCCCCAGCTAACCTTGGGTTCTGAGGAAATGCTGCACGGAACCTGGTGTCACCTGGGGAGTCCCCAGCTGATCCTCGGTTCTACTGAAATGCCACAGGGAGCCCAGAATCAGCTGGGAGTCCCCAGCTGACCCCAGCTCCACGCAGCATTTCAAATCCACAGCGCAGCATGGAGCTCGGGATCAGCAAAGGACTCTTGAGTCCACTGCTGACCCCAAGCTCCATGCTGTGTTGCGGCTTTGAAATGCACAAGAGTCCCCGCTGGGGGCCCCAGGCTGCATGCGGTGTTCCGCATTCCTCCTTTGAAATGTATATTTCAAAGGAGGAATGTGGAAGTGCCTATTGACTAGTTGAGTAGTCGATGGAAACTCCATCGACTACTCGACTAGTCAATTAACAGATATTTAACATCCTTATTCTAGATTCTAGAGCTAGTTGCGACTGAGACACGACTCAAGGTGTCAGTGTGATGTTGGCGAGGACCATTCAATTAAAGCACTATCCTGGAAGCATCACAGGAGCCTTAGCCAAGGTAGAGACCTCTCCTCCTATTGGATATTAGAAGAAATACAGGGTTCTTGATTGAGTTCCATTCCATGCCATTCCTTCATCCTCCATAACTTTTAAGAAAACCAAAATATGAGAAGGTGAAGTTGAAGAGCCTATTCTTTCATCACTAAATAGTAGCTCAGATATCTGAATAGATCTCAGAACCACATTTACGCTCCCGGCTCATGCCACAAAATTCCAAGTTTCTGTAGGCTTTTGCTGAAAGGAAAAGAAGCATATAAGTTAAAGCTAATGGCATTTTAGCATGACCAGTTGAGGAAATAGGTTTGATTGTTTCAAAGCTCTGATTATTTATTATTTTATTTCACATGTGCTATAATGTCTCTGACTTTGCAGTTTCTTATTTTAGGAAAAGCTTTTGACACTTAATATTTCTTGTGGAGAAGAAAGTAAAGGGTTTTATTGTTTTTGTTTATAAAAATCTGGTGTTCATTACTATGAAAAGCGATACTTATCCTTTTAAGCCATTTATACTCCAGATGAGATACCAAAAAAATACACCGAGGCTGATGTCTTATTCCTACTTGTGGCCTTGAAGAACAATGGAATTCATAGAAAAATTATTTTATATGCAGTTGTTGCCTCCATGAATACAAAAAATTCCTAACTCCAAAAAATTATCTTGAATTATGGTGAAAGACTGCGGTGTTTCATGCTTTAATGGATTGTGGAGAGAAACCTTGACATTTTGTGTGGGTGGCAGCAGCTGGGGAAGAAAGGGAAGGGAACATTTTAAGGACTTTCAGAGAAAACTCATCTGTAAAGATGCTAACTAACTTGGAAATCAAAGACTGAGGGTTTTGTTTCTACGAAGAGGAAACCAATCATCTTAAAACATCAGGCAAAGAATCACATAGTTGATTTCTAATTTGAATTTTGGCATAGACTCTGAGGCAGCTTTATGGGCATAGGTTTAGTATTGCCAAGGAGAAAAAAAATGAATGTTACCGTTTTATTGTGGCTTAAGTGGATGAAGTATTATTTACATATTGAATGCACTGAGCATACTCAGACTTGTTCCAAAGAGTTGCTCCAGGCTTAGGAGGTATGTTGCAGGGTTGACTGCCTCTTGAAAATGATTTAAGAGGGTTAATTTGTTGTCCACTTACTGTTTTCAATTGCTGTTGTCTAGGGGATGGTGATCTTAGAAGAATTCCCACTTCCAAAAGACATTTTGAAGAAGCAAATGCAATTGACAAACCCAGAAGTGTTATTAAACTCCACAGGGAATTCTCAAGCTACCTTTGAGAGACAGGATTCTATTCCGGAACATGATTTTGAAATGTCACCAAGCAGCCCCACTTTACTTCTACGAAACATAGAAAAACAGGTAAGAACTGAGTGTCAAATGGAGCCAACCTTTTACAGAATTAGAGCAAGCTACCTGGCATTTCTTTACAGACCCGTAAAGATATTTCACATTCCTAAGAGTGATTGCTGATGGATTGAATATCTTAAGTAAATAAACTGGTCACTAGGTTTACAAATTAACTTTTCACTGAAGTATCTATAATTCTGTTTTGATTTAATCAAAGTGGCCATTTCTTGCTTCAGAGAAATAAACATCAGGTTCCTGCACAACAACTCTAACAGTTTCCCATGTAACTTCTTGTCCATAAGGATTTGGATTAGTGCAGTTTTGCTGTGGTTTCTCACGAGTGCAACTTTTCTGTAAAAATAAATTACATTAAAAATAACCCCCAAACTTTGTTCACCTGCTCTCCCCAACAAACATGAGGCCAACTCTGTGAAAAGTTATATATCTGTAACCCCATTGACTTCTGTGGCTTAGGCATAGCTGAGAGCAGAATTTTGATGCAGTGTCTCAAATATTAATTTCCAAGTTGGATTCTAGGAAATACGGTGTAGATCCTAGAAGGTTTTCTTTTCGCTACAAGGTATGCAAGTAAAGATATAGGGGAAACATGTTCATGAACCAACTGTAGGAAACTTGTTAGGATAAAGTGGAGTAAAATTTGTTTTTATAATGTCCAACAAAGAAGATAAAAGATTTATCAGACTTTTAGATGCATCACTGGGAAATTTAGTCAGCTTTTAAAAAGCGAAATAAAAGTAGTTTCAGGTAGTACACCTACTCCTGTTTGCCCCTGCTATGTTTTGTGACTTTATGATCATATTTTCTAAATGGGAAATATACACAGTGCTGGAAAAGGCACAAAATAAGCTGGACAGTATTTTTTTTAGCAATGTCCCAGCTTAGCCTGATTACTTGGAGTATTCGCTGTGCAGTTCTTTACAGACCACTTTTAAAGCAGTTAAGATTAAAGTAACATTTGAGGGTTTTTGAGGTGCCTAAACATTTCCAGACAGTTTTAAAAGTGTGCAGTTGCCCGAAAAAGGTCTGAAATTATGGCCTTCTTTATTTTCTTGCTGACTCCATGTCAGATTTGCTCACATTATAAATAAAAAAAAAAGTTTATCTAGCTGCCAGCTCTGTAAATCAGCTTATGTTCTGAGACAAACTTGTGTATTGTTTTTCTTTTAAGAATACTTAATAAATAATCTTACTTCTGGTAGAGTGAATCCTAGCAAATAAAAAAGTTAGGCACGAATCTGCTATTTCAAATATACATAATTTATATTAGCAAAGTCAAACTATTTAGTAGTAATTTCCTCTAAACAACCTAGTGATTAAATTTTATGTCAAAGTAACCACTAAGGTTTAATGTTCAAAACACAGAGAAGTTGTGAAATACTATCTGCGCTCTGTCACTTTACAAAAAAGAATTCTTAGTCTTGGTGAATTAACTGCATCTCTGTTTCACACAATTCTTAAAGTCGTGATTTTTTTTTGAGGACTTTCAGTGTAGCTTTTGAATATACCAGTAAATAAGAATAAAGGTAGGGATTTCTATCACGTCTAGCATCTTTTTATTTCCATTAGTTCTTACTGTTGCTCTTTTGGCCATTATTATACCTTTTCTCAACCTAAGTGAGCAACTAAGAGGATTCTTTCAATGACCAAACTATTTGGTTTATCAGCCAATACTATGATAACAAGTAGGCAGTCATTTTTTTTTCTCTTGAGACAGTATTGAAGCCCAGTTTCGAAGTCACGAACAGCAGCTACACAATCAGCTGCAAAATTTCTACCATTATTAACTGCTACATGAAAGATAAAATGTGTTCTGCAGGCTACTTTTAAAGTTTGTGTTTTTTATCTGAAAAGATATGAGGTGCCTTTTTTTTTTTTTTTTTTTTTGGCATGTCCAGAGATCTGGTAATTACTTTGTCATGGAGAAAACTAGACCTAGAATACTAAATGATGGGGGATAGAGGCATCTTTTAGTTTGTTGCTTTGTGTGAATGAAAGCTTGACTACTGTGTCTTTCAGAGTGCTCAACTGAGTGAAATCATCAATAATCTAATTGCTCCACTCAATATGTCCCCCACATTCTTTCCTCTCTCTTCCACATCCTGTAAACACAAACAGCTGGTCAATGGCGTCTCTCTCAGGTAGGTGACTGTGTGATATAATTTTGTTTCTTGAGAGAGGTTAGTGTTGTAACTTCAGTAATTTTTTTATAATGTTAAGTCAGTCAAAACTAGTAATTTTTCAGTAGTAAATATAAAAAGTAGAAAGCTTTTGCTTCTGAACGTAAAGGTAATAGATTTGCTTTTGACAATCAAATAGTTTATCAGTTTTGTTCCTGAAGTTGCCATCAATTCCACAGATGATTATATACAAGTAAAATCTTCATATGACAAAATGTAGCTGTGAAGGCAGGAGGTAAGTAAGATTGTTTTTGCAAACTTAAAATTGCATTTATTATGCCAGAATAAATTCTCCTAGGGAAAATTATGTAATTGATTTGACTTTGAATAGTTTTGTTTTATGTGATGACTTTCCTTCATTTTTAACAATGAAAACACTTCTTTAATAAGGAAAAATATCATTATATATCACAAACATTGCGGGTTTTTTTTCAAGTGATTGCTCATGTGCATTCCCATAGGTGTGCATATGGAAGGTTTTTCCCTTAGCAGTACCCATTGGGTCAGCTGTGCAGTCCCCTGGAGTGGTGCCTTCCTGGCACAGTCTAGGGTTCTGCCAACCCTACCCCTCGGCCTCCTCAGTTCCTTCTTACGTGCAGTGATGGTCGTTGGAGCACTTGTTCTCTTGCTCAGCAAAATAGCCCTAGCTGTTTCCCTTTGTGTAAATAGTTATTCTAAGTGTTAGTCATTCATGTAGTTAGTAGATGATAGTTTTTTGTTGGAGGAGTTCCTCCCCTCTTTTCCCTTTTCTTTCTTCATTTTGGCCCAGGGCATGCAATGACCCCAGAGATTTGAGCACTTTGACTCTTGGGCAAGGCTATGCCCAAAGGAGACCCACATACTGCTTTCCTAAAGTGTTGAGGGAAAGGGGCACTTAACTGCTAAGTGCAGTATTTACAGGAGTTTCAAGCCAAGAACCAAGCAAGAGAAGGACAAACATTTGAAACGTCTGCTTATCGAGTTGACACTTAGCCCCTTGGTGCCAGAGCTGGTGGCCGGCACCGACCTCTCAGGTGCACAGCTCATTGGCTTCAATGCGGGACCCGTTGACACTGAGAGAGGAGAGACACAAAGAGAACTGTCATGACTCCTCAACACACATGAACAGATCCTTGGTGCAGCACTGCTCCCAGTCTCTTGCTCCGCACAAGAAGACCAGGTCGGATAGAGGCCACTCACCAGCCAGAAGGCTGGCAGCAATTACAGTTTGGTTCGTCCCATGTCCGGACAACATAAGGAAGGCGCAGCAGCCCCGGCACCATTGAGTTCAGGCTCAGATGACTAATCTGCATGGAGTGCTGGTGGAAGAGTTGGTACCATCACCAGCGCTAGCTACGGGGCCGCATAAGGCACAGGCACTGCCACCAGCCCTCCCTGCAGCACCACCCTTGGCACAGCCATCTGACAGCACCTACATTTCCAATACTGGCACCTGAACTAATGCTGGCACTGGCTCCTCTTTGGTACCAAGGCAAACCAGCCATGATGAGGCGATGCTTGCTGTCGCTCCTGAACCTTTCTCTGGCACTGTCGGAAACCACTCCACCTTGGTCTGGCTCCAAATACATGTCAGAGTCCGAGGCAAAGTCCTCAGTATTGTGTAGTGCCCAGTACCGGTTGCGATCTCATTCTCAGCACCAACATTGGGAAGCTCCTCTGGGATGAAAATGCCCTGGGCCCCTGCAATGGCAGGCTCTGGTGCAGTGGACTCAGAGTCCAGTATCAAGAGTGGTATTTATGATCTCCACCCACCAGCCACCTTCAGCCATTTGGGTCACCCTGCACCATCAAAAGATGCCCAAAACTGAGCCTGTGCAGGCACTGCCAGAGCACCCTGCTACACTAGTGCCAATACCACTCCAGCCTCCAGTAATTTTCCCTCCCAGCATCTCTGAGGACACATGAGAGTGTTGTGATGTGTTGCTTGTGTCCATTCCAAATCCCACCCACCCACTCTCTGTCGGAGTACCTGGCAAGAAGGCACTGAGGAGGTGTGGGGTTGGCAGAGCCCTATATACCTCCCCTAAAGATGCCAATCCAGGGGACTGCACGGCCAACCCTTCCAACGAGCATGCACGTGGTGCGCATACACCTATTGGAATGGACATGAGCAGTGCATCTCGAAGAGCAGCAGTTACGAAAGGTGGGTAACTGCTTTATCTTTTTGAGATGTTTCATTTCCTGCACAGCAGATTGTGTGAAATGAATAGTAGAAAAATGTTTACCACTTATGCCATTTTGCACTTGCTACAAGTTGCATCTTTCATTCAAAGTTCTTAAAGTATTGTACTAATAAACATTAGTTCTTTTCGAGTGATGTCCCCGTGGGTGCTCCACTGTTGTTGTCGGGTTGTCCCGGCGCCACAGATCGGAGTTTTAATTGAGCAGTAGTCAGCTGGACCGTGCAAGCGTGGCTCATGACTCGAGCCATTCATGTCCTTTTGATCACGTGCGCGGTCCAGCTCCTGCCAATTCCTTCTTCGCTGCCTCAGTCGCAGACGGAGCAAACCTTCTCTCCTCGGACAATCTAGAAAGGAAAACAAAAATTACTTAGTTTAGTTTGTTCACTTTGATAGTTTAGTTAAAAAAAAATTCCCTTAGTAGTTAGTTGATAGCTGTTATGCTGGGCTCCCCCGGATTTAAGAAGTGCGCCGCATGCCGTGATGCTATTCCAGCATTGGACGGTCATAACAATTGCATTAAGTGCCTTAGTGGGCACTTGTGCCTCAGAAATCTGTTCACTGCACCAAACTGACTTTCAGGGCACGCAGAGATAGGGAAATGAGGCTGAAGATGTTTCTCTTCAACAAGGCCTTACAACCTGTGGAGTTGGCCCAGTCAGCTGCCACTTCACGATCATCCAGGGCTGAAAAACAGAAAGCCACTTCTCTACAGCTGGCTACTGCTCAAAAAGAGCCTTGCCAACCCGTTCCCTTCCACTGGCCTTAATGGCATGTGTGAGGGTGGGTTACAAACCGGGAACATCGGGTGCCATGGTATCACAGTATAAAATGGCCTCCGACTCAGAATCCTGGCAAAAATCTGTGTCGGTGCTGTCAATGGCCAGACCCGCTCGCCAGTCGGCACCGCCAGCTACCACACCGACCAGTATGGCATCACCAACTCCAGTGCCGCCCGTCTTGGCACTGTCAATCTCGGTGTCAACTACAGCGGCGCCACCAATCACAGCACTGACCGATGCGGCACCGCCAAATCCAGCACCACCGCTATCAGTTCTGACTTCTTCATCAATAAAGGTATCATATACCCCAACTGACCCAATGTCAGCACCATACGTGCCGTCCAGCCCACTGGCACCAAAGAAAGCTAGACAAAAATGTGACTCTACGAGACATATAAGCCTGGAACCGTTGAGTTTCTCTCCGGCATCATCCTCAGCATCACCTTCTCCGCATTCATCCCGTTTAAGAGGGAGTGACACAGAACATACTGTACATGACCAAAGCAGACACTATAAGTCTAGATATGATCGCTCACTATCTCTCTACAGGAGATATATCTCTCATTCACCTCTGCCATCCTCAAGAGGTTCACCAAATTCTCTACATTCTCCAGATCTCCCGATATATTATCATACTCATCACAGGAGTGTCTTTTCAGCTAGATATTCTTCTCCTATCTGATCAGAATATAGACATCACAGCTCAGCATACTACCATTACTATCCTCAATATAGTTTGGCATGGCACCATTATCAACAGTCATAATATGGTCCACCCTGTTGTTATGGACATTCAGTCTCCTGTGCTCCCACAATCTTTCTCCAGCCACCTCATAGGCATCAGATAGTAGTCACACCTCCTAATGTTCCTCCCATGGCTCACCAGTCAGAACCGGAGGAGGGTCAGTTATCTGAAAGGAAGCGCAGCCGCCAGATATTTCACCAATGGTCCAGTCTTCCTCATTTCCTGATGAGGCAGTTATCCTGATGAGGAGTGATCAGTCTCCTCCAGATGACCTGAAGCAATTTCAGGATCTTTTTAAGAGGGTAGCTGCTAGCCAGGAGATTCAACTAACTGAAGTACCTAAGAAACAACTCCGGCTTCTCAAGAATCTTCAGCCCTCAAAGTGTGCAAAGATCACAATCCCCATAGACGAGGCCATTATGGAGGCCGCTGATGAGACCTGGCAGACCCCAGCGTCAGTGCCTCCAACCAACAAGTGTGCAGAAAAAATCCTCCCCCCCCCCGCCCCCCCCCAGAGGCAGCTGAATTTTTATTTTCCCACCCACAACTGATGCTGTGGTGGATGCTGCCCAGCACAGATCCAAGCTTCCACAATATAAGAATGTCACCACAGACAAGGAGAGCAAGTGAATGGATCTGTTTGGCAGAAAACTTTACTCCTCCTCCACCTTGGTTGTCCGCATAGCTAATTATTCAGTGCTACTGTCAAATCACAATTTCAACAATTATTTCAAACTTACCACACTCATGTAACACCTGCTGGACTCAGGTCGATATTGAAATCCATAGTTCAGGAGGGGTATGCATTGTCAAGGACTGCCCTTCAAATAGCACTGTATGTAGCGGACACAATAACTCGAGCTATGGCAACATCTGTAGTTATGAGGAGAGCCTCGTGGCTGCAATCCTCCGGGGTCCCTCATGAGCTACAAAGGACAGTAAAGGATCTCTCTTTCGATAAACAGAAGCTGTTCACAGAAAAGACCAACGAGGTCTTGCATGTGAGCAAAGTTTTGAGAACAACCTTGCGCACCCCACCATACCACTGCAAAAGATATACCCCATATCAGAAACACTGTGAGTTCTCATACTCTGGGTATCAGCAGCACAGCTTTGATCAATCGAGAGCTAGGCAATGTCCCCAAAGGAGACTTATGTGGTCAACCACACACAACTACACTTTCGATCCCTTCAGCACTGGCTTGTGTCTGTTTATACCCACCTCAGATGACAAGTCCACAGACGAGTCTCTCC